TCACAAAAATTTTAATTCTTGCTATATGATAGCCGTGCATACGCGCAATTGGAAAGAAAAATTGTCACGAATGCCTATGTGTTGTAGATTTCTACATCTGTATGATATTTTGTTTTTTCTTATTTTAGAGAATCATTTAAAAAATATTTTTTTAATATACATCAGCCATCCTATATATACACTGTGTGTAGGAGTATATGATATTATATTTAATAATGGTAGTGTATGTAATTATTGTAATTGTAATTTCTACAAGTAAACTATATCCACTTATTTGCTGATGATTTGTACTTTCGTTATTCAAATACTAATATAGTAATTTTTTACACTGATGTAAATTTTCAGTCATATCCAAAGACTACCATAACTAATAGTATTGAAGATGTAGTTGGAAATTTAATTATTTTAAAAATGAATCAATGTTCGTGTATAAATATTTTATCTTCATACTCATATACAAATAAGATATTAATTGGGGCAAATATGTTGTACTATATGTATATATTATATATTTGTTTTGCGATATTAATGGACATTCATGTACTACTCCTAAATGTATGTATCCATTCAACCGTAAATATCAATTTTAGCAATAACCGCACAGTCTGAACTCATCACTGTATTGCTCTAAATTGCATGAAAGTCTTCCGGTTGAGTAAGATTTAGCTTTTTCGCGACTGAGGATCTGTTTAATACTTATTACCTTGTTTCATTATATAATTGTAAATGTTTAACCTCACTACATACAAAAAGCTTTTTTCTATAAAAATAATTTCTGTAGTCAAATAATAACCGGTAGCATCTGCTTCTTAATCAATGAAGTTTATCAGTTTGCAATATACACATATGGTCATTTAAATAGAATCAAATGCATTATACCATTTTTTCACTTTTTTCAAATTATTTGTTCGCAAAAAATTCGCTTGAATGCTGTAGATTTGGATAAACATTTATAGGAATATGGAAACAATTAATTTAACAATCAGTTTTATGGAGCTTGCAGTAATTTCGAAATTAAATAATAAAAAGAAACGTATGAGGAATTGTTGGAATGAGAAAACTATTCAAAATCAACAGAATTAAGAAAGGACGAAAAGAAATGGAGAAAATATATATATATCAAAAGTCGGAAATCAAAATTTTTAAAATATAACTCATTGGGTGAGAAGTTTAAAATGCTAAGCAGACAATATTTATTTCAATCTATTAAAGAAATGGATTGTGATACAGAATAAAATACGGAACAGTAAACGATTAGAATACAGGGCAGTGAAAAGGAATTATTCTAAAAAAAATATTCAAGAAAATTGTGCGAATTATAAATGAACTCAGTTGAATTCACCTTGATCTCTCTGATTAGTTATTGCTCTCTACCGTCCTCTTCAGAGAAAAAAATTTCACAATTGCAAAGAAACAATAACGCACTAATACTTGTAGAGTATGGTAAATCAAAGCGATCTCATTGAAGATGCGACATTTAACCGAATCGAAACGTTTGAATTATTTAAAAAAAAGTGCAAAACAAAATGCGTCGTGAACTCTCATAAAGAAAATTCCCTTTCATATACATATTTAGTTATCGCTGTAAATATGTGAAAATAGTATTGTTTGAAAGCGTGGATATATTTTAGGTAATATTTGTAGAAATTTCAAAGTTTAGTAATTTTGTTTAAATTGCATAATGTTTTCGTACAAAAAAAGTGTTACAATAAATGTAGTTCATTGAAAATTCAATATAAAAAAACACTACAATTACATTTCAAACCATAATTCTTATTTTTAATTAGTTTACAAGCATTAGCAAATTTTTTTATTAATGGCTTTTGATTCCGATTTATCTTAAAAAAATATTTAAAAACTATGCCCTTATTTACCTAATATAAAAAAGTGCTACATTTTCCCTCAATCTCCAGTTTAACGTTTTTTTTTTTAATTTTTTTCAAAAGTCAATAATTAACTTTCCACAAAAAACTACCAATTTCAATTCACTTGTTTGATTGATTCAAAGCAAAAACAGTTTGCTATGTAACTTCAATTTCATCTGTACTCCTTATTCAAGAATTTTAATTTAATCGAATGCTTAATTTTTTGTTACATGATTTTTTATATAAAATTTTTCGGGGTGAGGTTCCTCTCTAGTCTTTTTATGAATATCCTTATATCTCTAGAAAAAATATAAATCTTCTGTGGTATTCTCAACACCACAAAAATGAACCTCACCCACCAAAATATATAAACAAAGAGATCAAAATTGTACTTGCATTAAATGCATTAAAAATACATGGATGCTATTGTGGACGTCTGCAGGAACCCCCTTAAACTGAACGGGAGCACGAAGCAGGGAAATCATGCCGAGGTGTAATCTAGCTGGAGCTGATGTCCAAATAAGGTAAAATTTGTTTAATAAAAATTTAGTTTACGAAAAGTAATGACATATATCTTTATGCATAAAATGTATATAATATTCAGGTATAAATACATATATAAATCGCCAGCCGTTCCAAAATCGATCAACAAACTGATTTCCAACGATCTATAAACTGAAAATTTTATTTCAGAATTAATTTAAATAACACCTTATAGAATACAAAATGCTTTACACTCGTATAAGGAAGGTGTTTTTCAATAGTTTTCTCAACCACATACTGAAATTGGATGGTATTCCACACAGCTAGCGATCGATATTCATATACCTATAACTAATATATACATATATATTTAATTGTCGAAAAAATCATATTTGTGATTATAAAAATTTTTAAAGAAACTATATTTACAGATTTTTGGAGTTATCCCAATTAACATGGATGAAAAGCATACTTTTTTGAAATCCCGTTACTTGCCCACAAGAAGCATCCCCACATGATAATTCTCTCGAATTGAAAGTCATCAACTCTTTATATAAAGTTTAGCCACTAAATTTTATTTACTTCAGCTTTTTTGTGAAATGAAATTGTAATATGCTTGTTAATATACTCGTATAAGTTTAATACTCTTAAATATTAAGCCATTAATGAATAAATCATTGTTCCAATATAAAAAACGAAATATTTGTAATGAATTTTCTTTAAACGGTACTCTCTGTTATGGTAAGTAATGTGTATCCAAATTGTATCATTGTCAATTCGGTGTCATTGAATTTCACAAAAGTTGATGAAAAGTTATATGTCCTAGTAACAGTATTTACAAATTTCTGTAGAAGCAGGATTACAGCATAATTTGCTTACGTAGAAGTTTAACCAAAATTTCCAGAAAAGTAATAGTTAATTACCTTCTATGTACTCGCTCAATAAAAGTAGCTCGATTAAAAATTAGCTGTAAATTATTTGTCAAATTATATAAGGTTTTATTAAGGTTAATTATTGTGCATTTCAATACAATAATATATTGTAAGATTTCAAGATTTGCAAGATGCATTTATAAAAGAACTGTACAAAGTCCTGGAAAGTAGTAGCCATAACTTGCCATAACTTTTTCATACATATGTACATGTATTGGAAGACATTTGATAAATCTTAATAAGTAACAAGTAAGGATGATCTAAGTTCGGGTGTAACCTACCATTTCATACTCTTGCAACTTGCAAGGATCAAAGCTGCGGAAATACCTGCACAACGATACATTGTTATTAGAAAATTTCGCTCAGATATCTCACATCTATCACTCATCACTCTTTCTATTAGGTATATGGTGGCTAGGAGAATTATAAATCCGATTCAACATATTTTTGACGTTCATGCATACTATTATCGAAAACGGATTCTTTCCGGATTTCTATAATATATCTCACATATTAACTGATATTTTCAATAAAAGTTCGAAATATAAACTGGGGCCCATACATTCGGTATCTGGGGGCTTGAAAAGTTTTGCTTCGATGTAGACAATATTTGATTGTGGCACACTTCAAAGACACTATTCCTGCAAAGTTTTATCTAGATCCATTGATTGGTTCTTGATTTGTATACTGGAAAGTGAAAGAATCAGATGAAATTTAAAATTGTGTAATGTAATGTGAGCATATCAGAATGAAATTGGTCCAATAGGTTCCGAGATATTGGCGGTTCCACGCCCATCGGCCAAATTTTACACCGGCTCCTATAAAGCCTCCTTATACCATCTTGGGTGTGAAATTTTTTGTCTCTGACGTGTTTACTTATTGATTTATCGCCCTTTTAGTAGTTTTTAACAAAACTGTTATATTGGGAGAGGGCGGGGTTATAATCCGAAGTCATTACTTTTCACAAGGTAGGTAGGGATGCCAAAAAGATTACCCTTGGGCGAATTTGATTCTTATAGCTTAAATGGTTTAGGATATATGTCCATTAAACTTTAGAAGAGGCGGGGCTACGCTCACTTTTTAACATTTTTTTTAGCCATAGATGCCCTTTCCTAATGCAATTCGTTATACTAAATAAGAGCCTAGTGTCTTATTGTGGAGCTTAATTATAGCAATTTATTGGTTTTCGATTAATGGCGTTTTGTGGGCGTGGCAATGATCCGAATTCGCCCATCTGTAATACCAACTCCGCTTGGATATTAAGGAAATCTGTACCAAGCTTCATCGAGATATCTCATATTTTACTCAAGTTATCGCTTGCAAGGACGGACAGACAGACAGTCACTCGGATTTCAACTTGTCTCCTCATTCTGATCATTTATATATATATATATATGGTATAACTCCATATCTATCTTGATTAGTGATACAACCAACCGTTTGGTGAACAAAACAGCTACATTCTGTAGCGACATGTTGCAAGAGTGTAAAAAAATGCTAATATAATATAACGAGTAAAATACTCTTCTTATAACACTCTTTTATAATGCGATTAGCGTGAGTTGAATGTCGGGTCCTTAGCTATGTTGTCAAGCATCTCCTGTGCGACCTTCACTCGACCTCGTTGTTGTAAAAGATTCAGGTCTTTTGGTACGAGTCCAGCATTGACACGCTTCATACCCAAAACATTAACCAAATGCCAACAATGCCAATATGGCAATTTTCCAGCACTATTTCTTTATAATTTTCGATTTTATCGTCATTAAGAAAGGTGAAGGGACAACTCGCATTGAGGAATGACTTCACGACATTCACTGAAAACTTTGTGCCACTCAAAGACTTGTGTTCGTAATAAAGTAGACATTTTCATTTTTTTTGCAACATTTTCAACGATTCTTCAGTCGTGACTCCATTGGAAACACAAAGGTTCAAGCAAACACGTTGGGCAATTTTTTCGATTGTAAAAAACACCAAACAAACATTTTGCGTCGTAAGCAAACAAGCTGCCAAACACACACCTTTTTTTTCTGCTAAAGAAGGTTTCGAGCATGTAAAATATCTATTGAAATTTTTTTATGCTTAGTTAGATTTTAGTGAGATAATTCCAGCTGTTGTTATTTTTTGTCTTCAATGTCTTCACATCTTGCATGTTATATTAAAAAACCGTTGTTTTTAGTGATTTCAATTTTCTTTATTTTCTTCGTCGATGTTAAATGTACATACTATACGCACATACACATATACAATATGTATGTATGTAGCAGTATTTCAGTTAAATCATGTTTTCTATGTAAATGAACAAAAATGTAAAGTAAAAAATGTGTGCATACATACCAACCATTTTGTTTAAATGTGCTTACAAGCATACATACATATTTATATATGTACTAAACACTAATTTTGTTTAAGCGATAATCTTTTTAATTATAATCTCTAGTCCTATATCACCGCACAATTGTCTTAAACTTTTAAATTGTATCATATAACTAGACTTATACACGTACATTTGTGCCTACACTATGCACATGCACACACATACATGCATACATATGTATCTATGATTTTTTATTTGTATATCCAACAGCGATCCCTGCTAGCCTACTCCCATATTCTGTCTTTGACTCTCCGTGCATATTTCTATACGCTGTCACACATGTATGTATGTATGTATGCACTTATGTACATATTAATTAGTCGAAATAAAAAGAGGACACTCGGTTCAAACCACTTTAGTTGCATCATTACATCAGTTTCGTTTTTTCTACCGCTTTACATACTTTGCAAAATCTCTTCTAATTCTTCTTCTTCTTTTTTTATTACTCATAGCTTTACTTTACATTTTTGTAAAATTTATTTGTATCCATATTATAAAGTTAATTATTATTTATAACTTACAGTTAAATCCAACTATGAGCTACATATGTTTGTATATATAATTTGCAAGTGTGATTGTGTGTGTGTGTGTATATGTGTGTGTTTTATATACAATCGTGTACATGCCATTTGTAAGTACAAGTATGTATTAATCATACTATGATTTATTTTGCTTGTAATTATAAATACGTACATACATATATTTTTATGAAACCAATGGAATTTTTGTGTTATTTGTTTTTACTTTTTTATTCTCAACTTATTTTTAACATCTCATATCAATAATTTCCCGCTTTTTATTATCATCACATAAAATGTATATGAACTTTTAGAGAAAATAGGCGCATGCTTGTATTTGTGATTACTAATTTTATTCAAATTGCAGCTGTACATAAAAGTCAATTTGAAACGACGCCTTTTACCTTTATTGCTTAACAAACCAATAATTTTGCACAATCATAATTGTTGTTGTTTTTAATATTTATAATATTTACAAATTGCATACTGACTACATAATGTAAATGTGTGTGAGTGAGCACATAAAATTATTGTAATAAACTATTTAATTTATTCTGAGTGAAAAAATTTAAAGTGTCAAAATTTTATAAATTGAAAAAATGTACTGCTTTCTAAAAATAAAGTCATTAATTAATTCAAAAAAAAGAAATATTTAAAAATGTTCTGAAAATTTGATTAAAACTTGTACCAATAATTACGTGAAGTTCCAAGAATATTTGGATATTTTATTTAAATAACACAAATTTTTAGATCACTAACGCAAAAAATTTCACAATTGTCTGGAGTGTACTGCAACTCAAAATCAAAATAATTAAAATAAGTCAGTCGATAATTGGGCTAATGTAATTCAAAACAAAATTTGGAGTATAGTCTTAGGCGCTAATTGTAAAAATAAATCAATATTACCATTTTTGCACCTTTATTTGCTTACTGCAAATATAATTACCGGCAACATACTTTACTACTAACAATCTCCGCTTTTAGCTTAGTTTCTGAAAAGTTGAGTAATCTTACTCAAACAATTACATATGTATGTGTAGTAGGATGTATGTACTCTAAATATACTTTTGACGCTGATCTACATATTGCTGCAAACATAAAATTTTTACATTTGGAACGGTTAAACCACGATGTGAAACAATACGACGACTAAAGATTCTGCAATGCTAATTAAGTATACTCTTAGGAGCAGAGATACGCTTAAACGGTAACAGGAACAAAGAACAAATAACTTTCACAGAAAGTTCTAAAATTTGCATTAGTTTCAATATTCAACAATCTAAATCAGTTATTTATATATAATTTATTAATATAAAAACCGGAAGGAAAGTATATAATTCGGAAAAGTTTTGAAAATCAGCAATGACAGGCAGTTTTGGGGCCAAACCGGGTTGCCAATAATGCAATAAAAATTATTTAATTTTTAATCTCGAATACTAGATTGAAAAACATTAATTTCAAATACCGGATTGAAACAAAAATGTAATCTCAAATACCGGTAAAACTAATTTATATTTTATAAATTTTAAATCCACTTTTTAATTCTGAAATAAAATTTTCAACTTTTATTGGGGATTTTGGGATTTAAAAGTGAAAAGTTAATTATAAAACTCGCAGGTCTAAGACCAAATAATAAATAAATAAGTGCTACACCTTTCACGCCTTTTGTAATTTATCAAATCATCGATTACACTTTTGTTTTATATAAATACCATACGATTATTGGCGTAATTTTATTTTTGTGATTTTTGTGATCTAAGCAAATTCAGTATAAAAACAAACAAATTAAGAATATTTAATAGCTATGTATGTGCATTTGTCAATGTAAAAGAGGATATCATATACAAACAAACAATAAATATAAGAAGTGCTGCACTTATGCATATGTATATGTACATACAGACAAGCGCACGCGTAGTACACATGTACATAGTGCTGTGCCTGTATATATGATATATACGTCGTTAAAATTGCATACAAAATTTCTTTAATTACTTTTTTTTTATACAGAAGCTTTAAGCTTACATTCGTATATATGTACTTATTAATATACATAAATATATAATATTTAAGAAGCTATTAATTTTACAATAAATACAAATTATTCGCTCATTTATGTGTTTTGCAATACATACAAATGTATGTATTTATATACAATTTCTGCAGTTATATAAAATTATAATTATATTAATAATAGTTATGTATGTATGTAATTGGCATGTGCTGCCACAAGTCACCAACCTAAACATACATACATACAGCTACTTAATTGGTAAACAAGCACGCAACCATCGAAAAGCTGCACACACTGCAATCACAAAACTTATTACAAATTAGGGCACAACTAACACTCGAACTTACATACCTACATACTTTTTGTATGTTCGTCTTCATGTGTAATTGTCTTTCATTTATACACGTCTACTTGTTGTACATATGTATATTAATGTATCGGCTATTTACCGCCCCCTGCTAACCACTTTCACTTGCCAACATTTATGCGTAACTAAGGCTCTATTGCAAACCATTTATGTATTTATCTAAAACTACGCTTAGTTCATTTTTTAGTGGCTTAAAAATACGATTTCTTATGATAACTTATTGAAAATATTCTCATTTTATTATTTACAGAGTTGATTTAATATTTATAATATTTTTTCTTCATATACTAGAAATGACATTCATAACCATACAAACCACCATCATATGTATGTGTTTACAACATATTTTCTCTTTGCTCACCTATGCTTCTGTGTGTGGGATAACATATGCGTACGCATGCGCGTTTCGTTCGTTCGTTCATAATAAGTGTAGGCTTTACTACAAATGCTAAGTCTTATTCAAAAGGTATACATTAGTCCAACATTCAGTACCCGATCGATATTTGTAAGCTGCCGCTCTTATCACGTGTTTTCGATTGCAAACAAGTGATTCTTTTTGCGATAATTCGAGTTCTGCTCTAAAATATTAACTGTCTTACATGCATACACAGCCATAGATATACAAACATGTATGTATGTATGTATATATAAAAGTATCCAGGTAGAACAGAAAACCATTACTATTCGATAAACTTACACCAACATACATACACACATACATGCGTAAAGACATATGTATATGCACATATGCACCTAATTCCATACTGTCATATTGTATTTAGCTACTGGTTTGTGTGTGTGTATATATCTAAAATTTTCATTTAATATTTTTCAATTAAACTTGATGTGCTTTATGCAGCTTAAACGGAAGAGCGCCGCCTTTAGTTTAGTTTTGCCCAGGCATTCTTCGTTGATCTTCAGTTGCCGTTGCGAATTCATCATCTTCGATTTTTCACACTGTTCACTATATTCACCGCCAACAATAACACGTACACCACTGTAGCCAGTTTGATGAGCTCAGCGCTTGGTCGTATTTGTATCGCGGCAGAACCAGTTTCTCCACATTTACCTGTATTGAAATAAGAATTAATAACAGTATAAAATATAAATAGCATTTCTATTCAAACATACCGAAAACAGTTAGATTTGCCACCAAGTGATGATCTGGTGGCTTTTGTGTGCCGCGATAACATGCATCACCGATAACCAGTTTGGCCGCTGTGCCCTCAGTTGGGCGATAACTCAGACATACGCCATGTTTGGTGCCTTTATGTCGCGCGATAATATACACTGTGCCATTCTCAGACCACGATCCATGACAAGAGTACTCTATAAAGACAACGAACATAAGTTTGAGGTATAAACGAGTCTATTTCTTATAGCATAAAGGTGTGTATAGCAGCTATAAGTTTTAGTGTACCGATCTAAACATGTTTTTCAGAGATTGTACCGTTGCTTTGGACAATAATCCATGCCAATTTCGTGAAGATATCTTGTAAAATAAAAAAAGTTTTCCATACAAAAACTTGCTTTTGATCGATCAGTTCGTATGACAGCAATATGCTATTGTGTCTCGATCTGAACAATATATTCGGTGATTGTACCGACAATAATGTATGCCTAATTTCATAAAGATAATTTCTCAAATAAAAAAAGATTTCCATTCAAGCACTTGATTCCGATCGTTCAATTTTTATAGCAGCTGATATCGGCGGTTCCGACAAATGAGCAGTTTCTTGAAGAGAAAAGAACGACTATAAAATGTCAGGCCGATACAAAACAGACGGGCATGGCTAAATTGACGCAGCTTACCATCTTGATATATACATATTTTATTGGGTCTGAGATAAAAAATGTTAACCCACGGTTAGTCTAAGCACCTAACCAAGCACAGTGGGCACTTACCTTCATCACCATCTTCATTGCACATCGGTCGTACATCAATAATATCCGGTTCGGTGCAACCCACCCAGAGGCGTCGTTGCGCTTTGTAATTTGTTATGCAGCCCGGTGCATCTCTACGATTACGTTGCCGATCTAAATCAATTGCGTTAGTTGAATGTACGAAATCCACTTTTTTTCGTAGCGATGCTTCGTCTACAGCCATTGAACGTTCGTCGCTTTTTACTGAGCCATTTAGTCGTTGCAATTTGCTCTCCAGTATATTCATATGCTCCAAAGTGGCCGTAGTGTTAACGATATTGCCAGAACTATTGTTGGCTGCTGCGGCTGTGGCGCGCCTATTTCGTCCCGGTTGGAGACCATGCGCATTCGCATGCCACGCACCTTTATCCACTTTATCAGAATCTCGGAAAGTGAGTGTGACTTGTCTGAAATATATACAAGTGAGTTTAGTATGTATTTATAATACACCAACAAATCTATATATGTATATAAATCTATATGTAGTCTACAAGCACCAACCTTTTATTCGCATAACCGCCGCTATCACTTCCACCCGCTGTACCCGCTGCAACAACTAAATCACTTTGGCTGTGATGATGACCGTGAGTTAAATGCATTTTGTTGTTGTGATTACGCTTGTGACGCGTAGTCAAGTAAGGTGGCCCAATAGCGCCACGCAAATTGAACAAACCCTCCATCGGACAAATTTGTGGATCCGGATTGCTAGCTGTAAACATATAAATAACAATGAGAAATTAATACCAAAGGTGTAAACTAGAATTTCTAAATTTAATTTTAATTTATATAAATATGTATCTGTATAAATACAAATTCATCAGCATGGTTACAATACGAAAATATGAATATTTTTTCCACCCTTACCAAGCAACGTAATATATGGCATACGATTCACATCGAAATGATCCGGCGCACATGCATCCTCAAGCCGTGAAGCCTGCTTGCCCGTCTGTATTTCAATGACATGTGTGTCGCGGCGATAAAACATCATGCACATAAAGCCCGATTGGCTATAAAGGAGAGCATAAATTATTTATTATGATAATGCTTTTTATTACAATATATTTATAAATGTCTATAAGGCGAAATAAGGAAAATTTACTCACCATCCGGTTGTATAGTGCACCACAGCCATCATTTCAGTAGCGGTTTGCTTGTTAATCTGTTCACAGAGTGCTCGTGTCTCCATGAAACCATTCGGCTTAATAATATGTACAGAGCCATCACTAGTTGGGCGCAAGGAAAATTAAAAATATTAAATTTCATATTATTAAAAAGTTATTAATATAAATTTTTGGTTAACTAAGCCTAAAAGAAAAACTGAATTTCAAAACACTTAAAATTTTATTTAAAACAGCAGAGTTTGGACAGTTTTAATCAAAATTTAATTCCTTAATCCAAAAATTGGAATTAATAATTGAAAATTTAATTTTTAATCTCAAATTCTAAATTAAGAATTGATAAAATATTTTTTAACACTAAAACTAGAGTAACAAAAAAACATTATTTTTCATACCATAACAAAGGCTGTAATAAAAAGTTAAAAAAGAAAGGTTTACATATTTCTAACTGAAAAAATATAATTGATAATAAGTAAATAGGAATAATACAAAAAGTGATAAGATATGTTGATGTTTTACTAAAAAAATATATTTTCTTTTCAAAAGATAAACAAACTGGTCGAACAAGCAGTTCGTAAGCGCGAAATAGTTCAAATTTCAAAAACCCATTTTTTTATAAACTGCAATTATAAACTCGGGATTAATCTTTTTTTATTTTCTAAGCCGGTATTTAGGATTAGAAATTTAAAAAATAGTTCTATATTAAGATTTAGGAGTTTACAATGTTACAATGTTAATTCAATTGTATGTTTAATGCATTATAAAAAAGTAATCAGAATTCAAATTTTTTTTAACACCTTGAGTTCTAATGCTTTTTCAACACATAATTTTCATTAACTTCAATACTTACTTGGGATGATAATTGTAGACTGCGTTGCCCATTAGGACATGCCAATGTCGCGGTCCCTTGAACCATGCCGGGAAGTCACAGCGTTCAGTGATCGGTGGTTTTCTCAGCGACATTATGCGTGAACCAACCTAAATGCAACCAGTAAATATTTAATAAAATTATCTAGAAATAGTATATAATATGTTTACCTCTGCACTGTCTAGTCCATTGCAGGTAGCATCGCCAGATTGTGCTAATTTGTATTCAGCATCTTTTGCGCTCACAGTGCTAAGTCCACCTAAAATTAGAGGAAATTCCATCAAATATATTAATCTTTGCAACAAAGTAAATCCATTTGATTAAATTTCTATCTGACTGTCCTTTGAAAGATGAATAATAGGTTATGCCACATTAAAAACTACCACTAAAATATGCGTCATGATGCCTAGATCACTTAAGAACGTATGGTATTCTAGAGAATTTAAATCGCTTCATCATGAATTTAACGAGATTTCCAATCACTCTCACTTTGATTTTTCGCAATCGAAAATTGGCAAGATGTTTTAAACTATTGTATATTTAAACTTTTCTTAAAGAACTAATATTTTAATAGTTAGCTGAGTCCATAATATCTGTTGTTTACTAAAACTTACCCAATAGCGAGGAGATTTTCTCATATACGAAGCAGCGATAGCGTTCTTCATTTGAAATCGCATGATGATGTGAAACCAAGCCGACAAGATAACGAGAGTTTCCATCCTTCCAAGTAGCCAAGCATGTTAGTTCTTCAACTATTATAAGATTTTAAGTATATATACATTAATAATGTTGTTTTAAAATAATAAATTGGGTGAAAAGAAAATGAATTAAGAATATGACTACTAGCATAAAAAATATGTAACGATCGAAAAACAATCTTTTACCTGTGCTCTCAGTGCCCTGCACATCAGGACAAGCTTGGAAGCTGAGCAGTAGGCGACTGTCTTCGGTGCAGCTTTCGATATTCGAAACAGGGCTCTTACATTCACCGTGTCCACGATTATAGGTGAATACAAAGGGTCCTGAAAATTAATAATAAAAAAAATACGTATGTACTCGTATTTGCATAGTATAACGGATATATCAATAAAAATGCATATGCTATGTAAATATACACGGCAAACTCACCCTTCAACGGACACTTGACCGGTTCGGCACTCTCGCGAAATAGTGAATATAATAAAGCGTCACCGGGTATTTGATCGCAGAGATTTTGTAACGTTTCACGGCCCTTGCAAAAGTCTGGGGGACATAATTTTTGGAAGACCACAACAAAGTGTAGCGATTAATGCACATTTTTTCTCAAAATAACAAGCAATACAGATTTCATTATGCCAAACGGTGTTAATAAAGAAGCACACACACACACTAAGTTAAAGATTGGTAGTTGAGTTTGCAATTAAAGAAGTTAACTACTTTGGAAAATTTAAAAACAATAATAGATAAATATTCAATAATACTCATACTATAATGTGGTGTTGGTGTAGGTTTTGTTTGGGATCGAGCAAACGGCAAGCAATAAATTTAAGATTTTAACAATAGCGCATGTATATGTGAATGAATATACATATTATCGGATTGGTTTTACTTTTTGTTAAGATTTTACGGAAGCTATATTGCCAAGAAATAAAAATAAATAAATGTGTGCAAACTAATTAAAATAACAGTTAGTAGCATTTGCTCGCATCCCAAATAAAATAGCAATATTATTTTAACTTAAACACTTATAGAAATAAATAGTAACAGCTTAAGGAATTAAAATGAAAAAATCGTATTCGTGCAAATCGATGAAGTTTCATAAGTTTCAAGTAAATTTTCTCTTTGTAGAACAATGGAGTATATGCTCTCATTTTTAGCGGAAAAAGTCACTTAATTATTAATTTTTGAGTAGCAGTAGCAGTAAAAACTTATCATACTATCAAGTCGCATATACCACATGTAGTCATTTTTTAAAAGACTTGGAGGAATATTGATTGCGCTATTCGCACTAATAGCCGTCTTTGATTCGCTAGTTCTCTGCTTGTTATGTTTGAGATCACATCTCTTGTCGAGTTTCATTTAAAAACAACAACAATGTAAATCAGTGAATTCAGGAGAGAGAGAAAGTAGATGAATACCTCGCTATAGTGGTATAATCACTTGCTATGGTTCACTATTTAATTAATTATGCAAATTGTTTGTCTTCAAGGTTAGCATGGAACAAACGCAATTGGTAATATATACGGCTTTTGTTGTATAATTAAGTTTTTACAATTTTTGATTATTTTTATACTTGATTAGTTACTTTAAATTAGAATGACTCAAACAATATACATTCATATGTATATGACATTATATATTAACTCTTATATAAAAATTAATTAAATTTGAATTAAATTTCCTTAAAAAATTTAAAAAGGTTTTGGTATTACAATAGACAGAAATAGTACACGAATTTTAATCCGCTCCTTTCCATAGGGAACTTATTTTCTTCTCATACAATTTATTAAAGTTAGGAGCAATCACAACTGAGCTTATGTAAATTACTTTGAGAGATTTTTTTCGAATTGAAATTCATTTTGAATCAAATATAGCTTATAATCGTTACATCGATCTTTATTACACGATAATAATAGTGTGGTTGAATAAAGATATATAAATAAAATGAAACTTAAAACAACAGCTATAATATAAAAACCAAATCTTCATTTCGCACAGCAAAGTTTAGAATAAACCTAATAAGTATTAATAGTAGATAATTTAGTTTCCTTCAAAATTTCAGGAATTAGCCTGATAAGCTAAAGAGTATTTTTGTTGGCTTTAGTTTCTTCTTAACTGTAATACTCGTATATGTTGAACATTTAGAGGAGTTTGGCTCAACTACTGCAATAATGGCCATGACTTAAGTCGAGAATCCATATATAATATATAAACATGAAAACCACTTCAGATATAATCCACTACAACAATAATTTGTTATATAGAAGAATCATGACTACAATATATTATTAAAAGGATTTCGTGTCTAAATGTCTATATAAAGGCAGAGAGTATTTAGACAGAAATATATTGCAAGAGGAAGCCTTGTTATTAAAATTGATAAAAAAATTTAATTATAAATTTTTAACTATTGTATAGATAGTCGTTTTTACTGTGCGTATGAATATTTTTCATAAAAAATCGGACATAAGAAATCAAAAATAATAAAAAAAAGAAAGAAAATAATCAAACTACTCTTAAAAAAAAATTTTTTGTGTATCATTAAGGGTCCTCTCTGTAATTTTTATCATTTTTTTAACATACCATTACTTAATGATGTCGTGTGCTCTTGTTGACTGAGCACTTAAATACGCATAAATGAATAATAAAAAGGTAAAGTAGTTCGTTTTGCTAATAAGTAATTGCATTCACTGAATATATTTGTTTGTATGTATTTTGTTTGTTCGTATTTATATACATACATGGAAAAGCACAACACCAAAGTTCTAACTACAAATATGAATAGTTTAAAAAAATTAAACTAAAGCATGAAATAATTTAATATATAAGTATATACATACACGCATATACACAGGGCCATTTTTTTTCTATTACAATACTTCTCGTTGCTACATACATACATATAGATGTTATATTATATGTAGGAAATGAATCAGAATTTGATTGAAATTTAAAATGTGTATTATAATTTTTACACATTTCTCTTTTATTAACAACATGCGCTTCTTGCATGGGTTTCAATTATTATTATATTGGATCCTTGAGACTCGATTTTAGAACAGACATTCTTCTCAAATATTTAACCTTGTTTCTATAAAGTAAATCAAAGCATTCTCAAAGCAAAGGCCTGCTTACCACGACCTTTGTAATACCCATAAAGAGACGTCAGAAACCCTATAAAGTATATATGTATATAAATGATCGGTGACAGGCTAAGTCGATTTAGCCATGTTCGTCTGTCTCTATATACGTAAATTAATATATAGTGTTTGAGATATCGAAGCTGCTCATCTGTCGGTACCACTAATATAGGCACAAAGTTGCCACACAAACTGATCCATGAAAATCGAGTCTTCTATCAAAAACTTTTTTTTTATCAAAATATGGATTTTCACGAAATTGTGCATGGATTATTGTCCAAGACAACGGTGCAATCTTTGAACAAACTGTTCAGATCGGAACATTATAGCATACAGCTGTCATATAAACTGACCCGTCAAAATAAAATTCTTGTATGAAAATCGTATTACAGCTTCGGTTTAAACGAATTTAACGTTGTTTTTTCTTAAAATATATAATTACTAATATTTTTCATGAAATATTATTTCATAAAAGACATAAAGTCTTTTGCGAATAGTAAAAATCAAGTACTCACATATGTACATTCAAATGAAAAAATTTGCTTTAGCAACAAAAGCATTTTCATGTATAACAATGTTAGACAACAGAGAGTACTTTTGCACTCGATGAAAAAAGAAAAATGGTCCGCTGAATTTTAAAGCAAATAAATAATGTTAAACAAAGTTTTATAAACAGCAGTTAAATATATGTTTGTATATATGTATATAATTACTGATGTTGTAACAAAAACACCGTTAAGATGAGCCATAAATTATGTGTTGTTTAATTGTGGAATTAATGATTATATATTTTTATGTATATATATTGTCGGTTGCGATGACATAAAAAATTCAATAATTGCATAAAGCAAAATTTTTAGATAAACATTTAATTTTAGTGCATTTTATTCAACTCCACAGTAGGAATGATATTGGTTATATAATAAAAAAGATATATAAAGGAAAGTAAATATTTTTTTCTGCATTGCTTAATGAATTTTTCTTGTCACCGCAAACAATGCACCATGTTCATGTGTATTTATGTGTATGTGAATGTACATATGTGTTGGAGTGGTTTCGAGTTAATGTAAATTCTGCATAAGTTGGCAGTTGAGCGAGTTTTTTTTTGCTCAGCCACAAGTAAACATAGAACAACATGAAAAGAGTTTTAAATTACAGCTAATTTCGTAATATATTTTCGGTATAAAAAAACAAAAATTATAATCAATTACAGAAACACTTTCAGGCATACACATACATACATACAATTAAATTAACAACATGTAATTAAACATATTCATTTAGTTAAACTGACCCATACATACATACATATGTGTAATATTGAAAGACATTAATGGACTATTGTTTTAAAAATGAATTTTCTTTCTACTTAGAATAATTTATAAAATAATTAAGTAAAAAACAATATTTTTATGTTTATATGTATGTACATACATACATACATTTCACATATACACATGTACATGTATGGACGTTTAAACTATATTAAAACTACATTTATCACTTTGGATGTTTGTATGTATGTTAGTGTAGAGAGAATAACATTAACAACAACAGCAATAAAATAAGATATTAACACTATTTAATTACGTAGAACGATATTTACATATGTATACAATAATTATAAAACGAAACAACAAATAAATACAGCTACGTTTTATTGATGTAAAAATGACAACAACATTCAACAAACAACATTACGAAAACATCGAAAAAATATCACATTATGAATGAATTCATGTAAGTAAGTAGTATATAAAAAGTACATAATACGAATAAGTACAAAAAATACTAGCGGTCACCGGGCAGCCCATCCCAACATTGCATTTGATTTTTAAAACGTCTTTTGTCTTACTTGTGTGAGTTATGTAAAATCGATTGATATTGTTAATGCTAAATTTTTTTTTAGTTTTTTTTTTTTTTTGAGCAAGACACACACAACAAACGCTTGATGAATGTAACGTATTTTTGTTTCCTTCATATTTCGCCTTTTCGCAGTGTTTTTAATTATAACTGTATTAATATGCACGCGTTTCAACAAATACTGTGTAACTTCGGCAAATTTAATAGTTTCTAGTTTTGAAGTGAAATTACAAAATTTTATTTAAAATGAAGCTTAAATTCAAATTTAAATTGAAATTAATATACATTGTATATATTTATACGGTATATGTAGGTATGAGCATGTAAAGTATAGTATTACAGTACAAAGTATATGGTACATATGGGCATTCTATCGAGGAGTAAACAATTGATTGCGTATACGCACTGTCGCGCACATCTAAATTCACATGCAGACATGTATTTGTACAACGCATTTTTAAAGTTGACATTAAAAATATGTGTACAACGGCGATCAGTGTGTGATCAGATATACCGCTCATTTCTCGATTTTTCAACTGTAAATTATGA